GATATGATTATATAACGGAGGGGACGCAGTGATCCACGCTCGTGTTTGTGTGACGGGTATTGTTTGTGTGATGTTTATGTGTAGATGGCTGTGTGGTTGGTGAGACACAGAGAACCTGTTGATGTGATTGTTCTTCCTCTGGTTTTATATTAAGCTTATTTCATTTAAAAGTCTATTCAGGGCATCTTAACTTTATGTAGTAGTTATTTATTTACAGTGATGGTTAACGCTTTGCAGCTAACTAAGTTACAGCGTTCCTTAATCCGCATACATATTCATAATAGATTAACGTAGCACCTTCTTACACGAATTTAAAGTTAGCTTCTTATTTGCCAGCTTCTTCGAATTTTCCCGTTCCACCTTAAATGGTGCAGCATCAGGCAGCAGAAAGTGACAGCTGCACCATTTACGGTAGAACGAGGAAACTCGAACAAGAAGCTGTTGAATAGGAAGCCAACTTTAACTTTGTGCTTCTTACTGTGTTTTGGGGGTTTTATTTTATTTTTATGTGTATTAAGGTTAGAAGTGATTCACACATTGATGGATTTGCTGATTGTGAGATTATGTTGCTACAGAAGCTCGCGCTAAACTTGGTTTTTAACGTCAGGTGCAGACTAAATACTTTTCTGCTGGTCTGGATGGCTAATTAGCAAGGTCAGTTATTAAAGAAATAAAAGCTTCAGAGAGCAGTCCGTGCAACCTAGACTAATCTATGTCTGAGGATTATAACAAAACAAATTTGCTGAAATTCAGTTGAGTAATAAGGAAGTTGTAGTAATAAGGAAGTGACCAATTTAATCCTGAGAACTCATCATCTCTCAACACAGGTGAATTTGTTCACAAGCGGATCATGGCAGACGTGCAAATGTATCGCCTCAGATAGAGAACTACAGACAACGTGGCATCTAGGTACGTATATCTATGGTCGACACCACACAAATCAAGGTATGATTTAGCAATATGCAGTTAGCATGTAGAATTAGCAGTTAGCCATATACAATTATATATACATACACATATATACAATTCCTACTGTTATTAAAGTTTAAAAGCCATGACCTGAAAAGCAATGAGCAAGAGTAAAGGTTAAATCTTGCCATCTTTTCTCACCTTCTTTTGCTTTCTAAAAAGCGGCGCTCCATCCTCTGTGCTGTTACAACCCTCCCCCCCTCCACCTCGGGCACCTCATCTCCTCTCACTCCCACTCGCTAAGACCTTAATCAAATTATCCCTTCCTTGACCTTGCCTTCCAGAGCAACATTAGGTCACATGCATACATGTGCATCCATTAGTAAAATACAACACTGTTTCTCAATCACTGTTTCTTGGTCTACATGTTCATTTTTTTCTCTGCTCCAACACAGCTGATTCCACAGTTAATCAACAAGCCCTTCCTGACTTGTATCGGGCGTGCTGAAGAAGAAAAACTGCTAAATCGAGCAGGTCAGGTTAACTCCAGGCCCAGGATTTAGAACCACTGCTATACACCACCAATTTATCAGTCAGCCACCTATTTGCCCAGTGTGGGTAAGGCAGCATGGGAAATGTAGTCGTAGAGTCGACTCGTCTGTTATCTGAATCATTGGAGCTTTTATTCAGTCATCATCAACATCATCACCAGCATCATTAACATTCTTATATAGTTCAGTAAATTATATTCTTTAATAGTTCAATATTATATCATAGCCATTATCATTCATGTAATATACAGATATCAATGAATGTTCCACCTCCTTAGTTGGCAGGAGTACGAGTGTCTTTGTATATACAGCATGGCAGAGAGAAAAAGAGAAGGGTGGGGTGGAGGGGGAGATAAAAATAGTAAAGAAAGGGCTCTGTCATCGTTTCATTCCCTCGGTGAGGATGTGCTAAATACAGCTATGAGCGGCCCAGGCTCCATCAGCCTCAGGAATCCACCATTCATCTCGGAATTAGCTGCGGAGGCTCTTGGAAATCGCATCGTATGTTTTAGCAGCAAGCTGGCAAGATTCCTCACATCACAGAAAGGCTGACAGAAACAGAACCGAGAGCATCAAATCTGTAGGGGCCTCCAGTGATTTTTGAGACGTCTGAAGGGCGGACTCTTTCTATCCCTGCCCAACAAGCCCTGCCTCCTGTACAAGGATTGGCTAGTAGTTCAAAAGCAGTCCACCAATTGACTACCAGCTCAAACAAGGGCCTCTTTTCCACTACTGGGCCAAATGGTTCAGAGCGCAAAGGTTAACTATTCCAGTGGCTTTTCCACACAGACACAGTTCAGCACGGAATGCTTAAAACAATTTCTAAATGTTAAACAGCACTGCTAACCAGGAAAGAGTAGCTGGTAAGCGTTAGCTTAACTAGCATGGTGCCAGCTCTGCACACCACAAAACATGTTCGATTCTGACTAACAAAAGCTTTACTGACACAATAACGATAATAACAATGACTAAACTCTGAAGATGTGAAGTCGAGCAGCTGATGTTACATGGACAGAAACACAAAATGAAACCGGTTTCTGGAGCTGGAGCTCCTAGCTAAGCTAATACTAGCCGGCTTCTCTCTCCTAGTTAACTTAGCATAGCTAAAGAGATCCAAACACCCCAGTGCAGGTTTGATTCCACTACCTGGCACTCTGCTATTACAAGCATAGTTAATAAAGCCTTGTAACAGTGAGAGCAAAGTTGATTGATTGGCGGTGGAGTGACAGAAAGCCAAAATCGAACCTGTTCTGTAGTGCTCTAAGTTGTAGGCATCTAGGCTAAGCTAATGTAAGAGTGTACAGAGCCTCCCACAGCAGTATGGGCTCTGTTCCAGCAAACCTATATTTAAAAACACCCGTTTAGAAGATAAAGACTCATATCTGAGAGCACACATTCAAATGACTGGTGTTGAAGTGACAGAATGATAGAAATAAAACTGAAATTCAAATACCACCCGTTGAGAGGATAAAGAAGATAAGAGCACGCAGAGAGGCTGGTGTTGGAGTGACAGACGGAATCAAAAGTGTTTTGTGGTGGGTGGTGGGTGTGGCTTTTAGCCTGTTAGCAGTTAGCCACTTCTTTGTGTAGTTTTTTTGAGTATTTCCTGGTGATTTAGCAACAGGTGGAAAAAGAAACTGTAACCGGTCTCACAAGTCCGGACCAGTGCAGAACGGCCCAGTACGGCCCTGAGAACTATTTGGCTTGATAGTGGAAAAGAGGCCAATCAAACAAACAAACAAACAAGCAAATGTTGTCCCTGGAGGAAAGCTAATGCTAATGTACCAAAACATGACTGAACCTTTAGCAATGGACTGCTTGAGAGTGTGAGCTTTCTAGTCAATCCTAGAGCAAGCAGCAGGTGCCACTATCAATCTATCAATAAATGTATGTTATCCCCCAAGAAAACTAGGCAAGTAATATATTAATTTATACAAAAATGTAAAGGAACAATTATTGTCAACCTGCATCTCAGTACAAACTACTAGCCAACCCTAGCACAGGCAGTGAGATGCTACTAGCCAAGATAAAATCAAATTACTATAAATAGAAAAACTAAAGTCTTTCTGTCAGGAAAAGTGCTAATATAACAACTTATACAAAAACGTGACTAAACCTTTAGGACTCTTCTACTTAGTCATCAAGACTTCAGCCGAGATGTTCAATTTTACCATAAAAGGAAAAGAACTAAGATTACACTACAGAAAAAAAACAATAAAAGTCACAATAATGAAAGAGCCATTTGCAATGAGTCTTAAGAACATGCATGCAGAGTTGGAGAAACTCGCACTGTAGTTTTTTTTTTTATTATTTAATTTACATTAGGCTACTTATTTTGTGCAACAATGCGCTAGCTGTATCGCATGGCGCCGTGGACAGCCCTCCGCTCTTCAGTATTCACACACACCTGTTTTTGAATTATTTGAGAATGCAGTCCATACGGTTATCTCTTTTTCTGTAAACACTGTCCTGTTGCAAACTTCCCTTAGTTTCCCTTACCAACCAGTGTGAATGTGTGTGTGTGTGTGAAACGAGAGACGGAGAGAAAGCTTGAATTTTCTGTAATCGGAGGTGAATCTTTTAGGGACTTGTACTGTTCCCTTTACCTCAAACCTCCTCAGTCTATGACATCAGACCAACTGTTCTACTAATGAACTGACATCATCAGCAATCTGCTGTATTAGCATGCACAGACCCTTTAGGGTTGATCAGAGGGAAATGCATAGCAATGAAAAGAATGGTTTGATTTACAAGAATGCTAAACGCCATCTTTATGCTGTAATTTGTATACCTGAGGTGTAGTAAGCATTTTAATATAAGCTTTAGATATTACTTGTATACTATGATAATTTAGTAGTGTTATTCAGAAGATGGATTCGTCTAAAGATCAGGTTTTTTAAAAAACGTTGACTGTGAAGCACCAAGTCCAGTAAGATCTAAATCCTCAACCCTGTAGTAAAGGTAATGGAGGGGTCATGTATCACTAGGCCTAAATGCTAATCTAATCATGTTTATTCTTGTGTTCCTCTCATCTTCTCCATGATCAATATAGTGTCCCGCACTGTATTATGTTCGCTAAATCCATGTCCTATTATGTACAATAGCACATACACTATAAGTCTCTGTTGGATGATATGCTAGGGAGATGCGAGGGGGGCCACACATTGGTTAAGAATTTGGCCTGCTGAATTACATCAATGGAAACGCATGCCAAGAAATGACCAGCAGAGGAGGCCAAAGTCTCAGTGAATACAGAACGTCAAGAAACTAAGAGGATAAAAGGAGGTAGAGAGAATAAAGAAGGTGAATACTGAAGTTGTACATTCAAATATGGCTTTAGGAGGGTTCCCATCACACCTGACCTCTGGCCGACCTTATACAGTACACTATACATTAGTAGTACAAAATATCAACCATTTCTCACTTAAAGACTCTTGAAGTTTCTTTGACAGTGAAGTGAATGGGCCGGCATCTTTTTCCTACTGAGAGAAAGGAGGTAAATACTGAAAAGAAAAGTAAAGCACATACGCACACATTCTTTTTTTTTCTTAACACGTGGTGAGAGCAACACAGGACAGCACAACACAGACGACAGTGTAGCTTCACAGTGGTTTGGCAGACAAAGCAAGAGTTTTCCAAAGAGCAGAACCACAGGAGAAAGACAAAGCAGAAAAAAATGGAAAAAAGCAGAAAGAGCATCAACAGGAGGAGGGTGGAGAAGGAGGATTAGGGCTTGTCTCCTTTGTTGCATTTCTTCAGCTCATCCACCGCTCCGGTGCTCATCCAGCTTCTGGCATTTCGGGTTTATTTTCATTCTTTCCTCTTTTTTCCCTCTTTTCTTTCTATTCTTATACACAAAGAAGGTGTCTGTCCATGTCAGAGAGGTGGAAGGGATGCAGGTGACATGCTAGTGCAAAGGAAGGAAGGTTTTTTGTTTGTTTGTTTGTTTTTTACATGTTCAGTCCATGACCTGCTGAGCACTTAACCAGCAGGTTCAGATGTTCAGTTTGAGATCCAGGATCCTGCTGACAAGCATTTACCCCAGTGAGTCTTGGTTGAAGTGAGCGGGGCTAAAGCAAAGGGGGTGGACCATGGGGGCGCTGGTTACCTAGAGGAGGGACTACTGCATTCAGAGGCGGGGCAACAGAACTGATGGGCGATGTCATCATCTTCCTCTTCTCTATGAACAGACAGAAGGACAAAGCAGAGAAAGGCAGAGAGAGAGAGAGAGACAGAGTTTCAGACACATAAAGAGGACGAATGAGGAAATATGGTAACAGAAAAAAGAGGGTATTAGAGATGAAGGCATGGATGAGGGAAAAATTACCCACCCACTCTTCGCCTAAAAGACCCAATTTGTTATTCGTCTTAAATTAATTAAGATGAATTTTTGGTCAACAGACTTATTAATGGACAAAATATTCAGCCCTACATTTACATGACAGTAATGTATTCTTTGACCTCAATTTTTAAAACAAAGCTGTGTTATGCATTACGTCCACCAGGTGGCAGACGAACATCATTAGCTAATTTTATCCCCTATATCTTCCAACAGCTCCTCTGACCCAAAACCCCAAGTGGAAATGTATTCTAACTGATGCCATTACTAAATGGTTTAAGATAGATGTATATACATATTCCTGTATTCTTTATGTAAATTCATCTAACCCAAACAAGCCTCATTTGTAAATTAGGCTGCAATTTTTTTTCTTTAATCTAAAAATGATAAATATGCATTTTTATAAATCATTGATATAATAATAGACCCAACAGGAATGCTCGGCGTGGAAGTGGGCAGATGGTAGAGTGAGAGAGAGAAATGATGACTGTATGGGTCATGCAGTGACAGCGTGTGGGAGAACTCAGAGTGGGCTGGAGAGTGTGTGTGTGTGCATGTGTGCGCAAGCACGCGTGTGGGAGCGAGGAGTATCGTGTCCGTTGTGGTCTATGTGTGTGATTCATGCCTGATGAAGTGGGAGGCACGCTGTTCAAATGGGCGATATGAGGATGTGCCTGCGTGCGGGTACGTCAGTTATTCTGCGAAACTAATTTTGACCGGTATTATTTAGGTTTGGATGGAGTAATGTAGCGTAAGATCAGGTAAAGTTTATATTAGCACTGCCTGCTATTAATAGTAAAACATAGTAATACTCTATGGTCATTACAGTGCTTGCAAAACAAAATGCTCAAGAACATTGTTATTGCTAGGCTTCTTTCTCTTATTCATCTTATTATTTTTCCAGGATCGATGATGAGAACCACTTAATGTAGAAACTTTGTCTTGTAAATGGCACGAAAGCTATGATTTTTCATTTTTCTACTTTATATTTTTTAAGATATTAAAGAAAATGCGTTCATTCATACCAGTTGTTGCCAGGTTGGATAAGCTTTTCAGAACATTCACAAAACACTACTGAGACTATTGAGTAATTGCTACTAAGACACCTTGCTAATAGAAACAAGGCAGGTTTGATTAATAAGACAAGAAAACTACCTTACTAATAAAAACTATGATCTTACCAAACAGTATACAAAAGAAATATAACACGCAAACAAATTATCAACTGAAATAATATTCTTTGAAACAACAAAAAAAAATTGTTTGCTTCAGTTTCTTTTTTGTTGAATGAAACTTCCTGTAAAGATTTGCAACAGTTGCTATGAAAGAATGTATCTGCGGGTGTAGAATGCATACATCAATTCTATCAACTGAGGAGACTAATTTGAAAAATTTGCTTAAAAGTTTAGCAAAATGTAATATCTATTCAGCACATTTAATAAAGTAGGCATATGGAAGATACAAAGAATGCAATTTCATAGCAGAGTTATTCAGGTGGCTTCACCTGAGAGTTTTAAAGATCCTAAAAACTTTACTACAAAGTTTAAATTAAAACTTAATTAAAGTATTTTGCTTGTTTGCTTTTGAGTGGAATCTGTTTATATATAATTATACAAATATGACAGTAAGACATAAATTTTACATAAAGTAACAATTTCTCTGCACTATTTCATGGTGATAAGGGTCAAAAAGTGTATGTTCTTTCAGTGAGGCACTATGGCTGATCTAATTCATGTAAGCAGAGTAGGAGGATGAGGAGTGAGAGTTGGGAAGTGGGTGGAAAGGGGGTTGCAGGGTTGGAGAGACAGGGGAGCTGATTTTGGGAGGGGGCTTCTGGCCCTTACCTTGCCTGCTCCGGATGCCGGGCAGGGGGGAGGGCGCATGGAGGCTTGGGCAGAAGAAGCCGCGCGGGGCAGCAGTACTGGTGGTGGGTCGAGTGGCTGTTTGCGGTCAGACTGGTGTGGAGAGAGGTAGTAGTAGTAGCAGGAGAAGTAGCAGTAGTGGTGGTGGTAGGATTGGTACAAGTAGTAGTACAGGTGGAATAGGGTGGTGACCTGACAGAGAGAAAGAAAGAGAGAGAGAAGAGGGGAAGATAGACACAGTGAGAGAGAGAGAAAGAGAGAGAGAAAAGAGAGAGAAAAAAAAGTCAAGAAAGAAACAAAAGGATACAGACAACAAGGACAGCCACATGCATACAGTACAAACACTTTAGCAGCAGCAGTAGAAGCACAGTAAGGCAGCATTATGTAATTATGTGGCATTATGAAGTGATACATAGAAATTAATGTTATATCTAGTGTTTTATGGGGTTATACAGGCATGTAGGGCAATATCAAGTCATAGTGTTATATAAAGTTATGCAGGATTGTATTGAGCTTGGTTAAGTTCGTGAAGATGACTATTATACAGTACACAGTACATGTAAAATGGAGTATATCCTCAAATCCTTGACTGCTTTTTAGTCTTATTCATTATTGCACCTTACATAGCTATGGGGTGAAACAGACTATTCATAACAAAAGCACACAGATGTGCTAAAAAGAGCTATTATTAATGAAAAACCAAATCATAAAAAGTTGGAACAATGGATGGCGGCACAGTATGCAATAAGCTATCATCAAATAATGAACGAACAAACTTGCTGAACAAACCAATGAATTATTACTCCAGAAACATTTCTATGAATCTTCTTCCTAAGGCACATATCTCTGTACATGTCCAAACTGTCAAAAGGCTTACTTTAGACAGGCACAAGAGAAGAAATATGCAAATAGAACAAAGCTTGTCACGAAAAAAGAAGTAAAAGGAGCATTAACAAGTCATAAGGAAAGGTCTGATATAAATGTTAACCAATGACTAGACTGAGTAAAGTAATTAAATGTTTATTCAGGGTTTAGAGTGCACAATAATTACATTTGGGCAAATGCACCCACACCTCTATGCAATTTAGTTATATAAAATGCACATCAGCCTATTGGAATGAACTAATAACTTGCTAATCTATTTCTTATATTACACAGAAGGACCTATGATGTAGGAGGAATTCAGTTTTAGGGCGCCAAAACAATCACTTTTAATGAATGGTAATCAAACAGGACTGCATTCTGTGTATTGCAATACTGGGATTTAAATGAAAAAGACTGACACCTACTGGCCGAACTGAACAGTCTGTCTGTCATTGCCCAATAACCATCACCTGCTACTGACGTGTAATTAGACAAGAGGCAAAGCTCCCATTACTTCTGTTTACCTTTTTAAAGAGATGACTTTTCAAATCTATGTTTTAACTATTTGCAAGTTTACATCCTTCCTTCCCCATCCTGATTCGTCTTCATTTTGGTCAGCTTCCACTACTGGCCAACGGAAATCTAATCTGTTAGGTTTACACTGAACATGGACATATCAAATACAGCAAGAGCACTCAGCGGCATCAATAGCTAAAGCAGACACAAAGACACACAGCGGGAGGGGAGAGGAGCAGAAAGGGAATGCCAAATTAAACCTGGGACATAAGCAACAGAAATATCAACTCAAAAGAAAGAGAACTGGAAAGAGGGAAAAGAGAGGGCAAGAACAAGAGGAGAGAGAGAAAGTGAGGGAACGGAGAGGTTAATGAATGACTGTGATCAGGATGGGAGGAGGAGAACGATGGAGAGATGCAGGGGCGAGAAATGGGGAGTTTGAAAGAGTGTGTCCATGTGCTGGCAGGCTGTAGAAGAGGGACGTCTTCGGTTCAGCTCGTGGAGAGAAGGGGCATGGCTTCATGTGGGTTCACGGAGGGATCTAGATACAACTAACTGCCCATTTACTAACATCTTCCCTCTTTAGTAGTTTTAAAAGAATTTGCCACAGGCATAAAATTCATTCTTCCTTTCGCTCCGCACCTTCCACCATCAACTTGTCCTTCAGTTCAATGTATTATGTTGATAGTTGTGCTGTCCTGGTATGAAAGAAATTACTGATGAGGCTGGTGTTGCTAATGCTAAACACCTGATTGTGTTAAAACCTTAGCAGGAAAGACTTATGATCGCTTCATCATGGAGCCAGACATGATCTCACAAGGAGAATACATTTCCGGGGGCAACGATTAAAATTTTGATGCAGGATTGCAATAAAATCTGCTGCAAACAAGGCTATGCCTAGAAGTTTTCATTCTAAAACCTGCCCCAAGTTCGTCCAATCCACGCACTTTTAACATGTGTGAGTATCCTCGATGATGTTGTTTCACTAGCTAGTTAGTAATATGCTATCATGTTCTGATTTGCTTCATTTGTTTCATTTCCTCAGGAGAAAAGAGTTCTTGGCGTGTTTGCAGATCGTTTAGCTCAAATGCAAATCTGATGGTTCATCCTTTTCTGAACGTCGCTGCCAATTCTTTCAACGTTGCGTTTACTCCAGCTTTAGGCTCACAACTTGAATGACAGAGGCTGTATGTAGACACTGGGAACCCATCATTATCTTTTAGCACTATTTCAGTGATGTCTTCTATAGCGTAGTCTGATTTAATCAAACTGTTTTCCTTCAATGAGTAACCTTTGTTTTTACTGCATGTCATCTGTTCTCCTCACATGCATCATACATCTACATGCTTCACTGACTTCAGCCATGATATATGGAACTAACAACAAGCTTGTTGTCCTCCGTACCTCCTACTTTGAGCTCCACTTTCACAAGATGTTGGACCTCAGTTTGTTTCCACCCTAGTAAGTCTACCTTTCCACCTACATTTCGCCAAGACTCCATAATTTTCCCCACACATGACTACTTCAGTGTATTTCAATGACAACAAGTGTCCTGCCCAGCTACATACTAGGGGTGGGAAATATGGCAAAATGTAATATCACAGTACTTCATGACATTTTTATAATACATTATATGTATTGTGATGTACCGTTTTTCAGAGGTTTGTTAAGCAGGAACAGACACAATGCATCAGTAAAACCGCAAAACCACATTTTAAAAATGCTTTCAAAACTGTCAGTACAATTTTCATTATTTTCATTATTCAACTCTTGTTGGGATTAAAACTTGTGATCTCTGAAACCTTAAACCAGGGACATCTAAGCTTATCTGCAAAGGGCCGATGTGGCAGCAGCTTTCCATTCTAAACAAGCTGGAGCACACCCAATTCTACTCGTTAAATCAGTTGGTCTCAGTCTTCAAACAGTTGATAACATGTGCTTCTACTTTATTGGAATGAAAACCTGCAGCCACACCAGCCCTTTGCAGACAAGATTGGACCCCTCTGCCTTAGACAGGCCATTTAGGAGCCTCTTCTGAATCTCTATTTATCGCAAGGAAAGCTTATGGCGACAATTTATCATTGTAACAATACCATACCATCATATCGCACAACCCTACTACACACATACACCCTCATGACCATGCAGAGACAGGACAAGCAGTTAAAACCCAGCCATCTATAGTATAGAATCCTCATTAACTCCCAAAATAAGCAAATTTAGCTCAGATGACTACAATGCTTGAACACTGAAAGCATTTGATGCGCAATGATAAACAGTTTTAGATTAATGGTCCTTTTGAGAATGACGTCCTCAGTCCTGACCATGAGAGATGGTCAGGTCACATGTTACTATTAAGTTGTGATTAAACGTGATTTGAAAAGGCATTGTTGCATTCAGTGAATGTGTCTCTTCTCACAAGTGCTGCCTCTTTAATACAGGTTTTATTAGCAACAGGTGACACCCCTCCACACACACACACATACACGCACATACAAAAACACTTAACATTTAGAGGTAAGCTGAAATACAGAGCTAATCAATCTTACAGCTAAGGCCAGTAATGATGAAATGAGTGCAGCAGCTGACTTGTATAAATGTCTGTTTGAATGATAATGACCGTGTGCAAGTCTCATAACTGTCGGTATGTGGGCGTATATATGTGTGCATTCTCTCTCTCTCTCTTTCTGTCATGTTGTCACTCCTTTCCTTCCTTGAGTCTCTCTCAGTCATTATTCCCTGCATACTATTCCTTCTTGCAAAATTCCTGTCCATTTCTCTCTTCCTAAAATCCCTTTCCTTCTCTTTCTCTCCATCTCTCCGTCGCCCACACTGTTCTTCACGTAAACGCACTTGTGATAACTCTCCACGTTCCCACAGCAACCATTCTCTAGCTGAAACCCCGGAGAGGGAGAGGCAGAGGCAGAGAGGGAGGGAGAGAGAGAGAGAAAAGCAGAGAGAAGGGAGAGGAGAGAGGAGAGAGAGGAAGTGAGAAAGGTATAGAAACAAAGAAAGAAATAGGAGAAAGAGAGAAAGAGAAGAACAAGGAGAAGCAAGAGAGGAGAGTAAAAGAACAAGAAGAAGGAAAGGAGAAAGAGATGAAAGACAGGAAAGAAACAGTGTTGATTCCACGTCACATTAAATGGAGAACTACATTAAACAAGAATTGATCTAACCCATTTTCGCTTGTGGTATCATCACCAGTGACAGAGCAAAGTTGACACGTTAGGCCAGCACAGTGCCAGGAGGTTGAGGGGATGTGATTAGGCACCATGAGTGGGCTCGATGCTGTGCCCTCACGGCTGCCTTTCTAACTCAGCTACGTCTTGTCAATCTGATTTCACTCCAGCCCACAGCCTCTTTATTGGCTAGACACAATGTCAAACCATGCTGCAGGAAAATGTCACCACGGTTCAGGTGGCCTGCCAATTTTACCCCACCAAATTTAGTCAAAGATATTACAGCTGGAAGCGTTCATCTATCATTTTATCTCTGCCGGTTCCTCTCCGTCAATTCATATTCATACAACACATGTGCCTGTCACTTACAGTGGAGTCAAATGGATAGAACCGTATAAATGCACATATAAACTCATGGAAGCTGACGCAAAATTTATTACCAAATCCGTTTAACTGATAGCCACTTACATTAGTAAGATCAGCAGAAAATGAGTCAGCTATGTTCATGTACCTCTACTGGGCTAGCTTCAGTGAAGGTTTCAACAAATAGCATAATAAAAACACACGGATAGCTAAAAGGATGTGAAACCCAAGAGGACTGTTCATGTAGTGCCATTTTGAAGCACTCAAAAC